GATTAAGCCTTGCATTTAGTTGTCATGGGAAACCAGACTTTGAGTTGAACCAAAATGAATGAGACAGCGGGTCTGTGTGAGAACCTGACTGGCCAGTGACCTGAGGGAAGCACTGGTCACACAGCCCCCATTTAACCCGCACGCAGCCTGGGAGGCCAGTGCCCACACTTCATAGTGCGGTGGCAGCTGCTGTCCTTGTCGGGGAGCTGGGCACAGTGAGGCTTGGGAACCTGAAACACCTTGCCTCCGGCCTCCAGCGAGAGAGTGGAGGAGCGGATTTTAACCCAATCTGGCGACTCTGAGCCAAGACGGGGAAGCACCAGCTCTGCCCGCGCCTGTCCCGGCGTCCCAGCTCGGGCCCTGTCCTGTCGCCCACTGTGCTCCGAGGTCCGGCTGTGCCCGAAGCACCAGGCATGGACTGCGCTCCCCTTGCCCGCCCCCGCCGCCAGAGGCTCGGGCGTTGGTGAACCCCGGGCCTCTGCATTGGGTGGGATCAGGCCGCGCCAGGTGGTCCAGTCTGGGACGTCATAAGGGGAACCCAGGAGAGACGCCAGAGCCGAGAGCAAATGACACGCACAACCCCGGGGCGAAGCCAGAGCAAAGGGCTCTGGGCACCTCTCCCCAGCCCCGCGCCCCGTGTGGGTGCCGATTTTCCTGGTGGGCATCTCTCCACCGCAGACCGCACGGAGGTTTGCAAGGTCCTGAGCCACCGGGGGTGGGGGGTGTGGGGGATGGGGGGGAGCCTCCGCTGCCACCCATCACTACTTTTGACTTGAGAGTTGTGACAAATAAGTATCCATAATGCATGCATATATTTTTTAAATTACAGAAATAGGACATGTGCATGAAGAAAATTAGAAAATACAAACAAGCAAAAACAAACAAAAACATCACATTCCCACTACCCAGACATCATCGCTGTTCAAAAGGACGGGAGGATCCTTGTGGAACGTTTCCCAGCCGCTCAGGTTTCCTGAGATGCTCGCCCTCAGATGACGTCGCTGGCTGGCGAGAGCCGCGGTTTGATTGGACACTGTGTATTGTTCCTCGGGAGAATGACTTCATGATGGTAATGAGATGTCATTTGGGGAAGGGAACAGCAGATACTGTTGCATGACCTGCTTTAATCAGTCAGTGATTTCCATTTCAGAGAAACCTCAGCTTATCTAAAACAAGATTTTATTAAGACTTTTCCAGCCCTGGCCAGGTAACTGGGTTAAAGCATCATCGTGACACATCCAGGTTATGGGTTCGAGTCCAGTGAGGGTACATAGAAGAATCAACCAATGAATACATAAGTGGAACAAATCAAATGTTTCTCTCTCTTTCAACTCAATTTTCTACAAATATGTTTTTATTGATTTTTTTAGAGAGAGAGAAAGGGAGAGAGAGATAGAAACATCCATGTGAGAGAGAAACATCGATTGGCTGTATCTTGCATTTGCCCCCTCCTCCGGGGGCATTGAGCCTGCAACCCAGGCATGTGTCCTGACTGGGAATCAAACTGGGACCTTCCAATCCATGGGACGACACTCAATCAATCCACTGAGCCACACTGGCTGGGCTCAAATCAATTTTTTTATTTTTTATTTTATTTTATTTTTTATCCTCACCCGAGGACATTTTTTCTAGTTTTTGTTCAGGTAGAGTGGGAGGGAGAGAGAGGAAGAGAGAGAGAGAAACATCGATGTGAAAGGAACACATCGAGTGGCTGCCACCCGCACGACCAAGCAGGGCCGGGGACAAACTGCAACCGAGGTACGCGCCCTTAGCAGGAACCGAACCCGGGTCTCTCAGGACCGCAGGCCGACACTCTAACCGCTGAGCCAAACCGGCCAGGGCTGGGCTCAAATCAATTTTTTTAATAAAGACTTCCGGTGAACCCCAAATTGTTTTTTACAGCTGGTTTGTGTACACTAGTACCCACTCCAGAGCCCAGGATCACATCTGATTGCATGTCCGTGAGGCTCTAAGCTAGTGCACCCCTTTTGCGACGGTGACCATGGGAGAGGCTGGGCCAGCTGGTCTATGGAAAACACCACCCTCTAGGTTTGTCTGGCTGCCTCCTCCGAGTGTCAGTCACTTATTCCTGCACCGTTGTGCTTCCTCTACACTGGAAGTTAAAGCAAGCCAATGGTGGGAAGTATGAGTCTGTGATGAAAGTGTCCAGCAGTACAGAGACGGGTTGCCTTGCTTCGCTGGTCCTTCCCCCCGGAGTGAGCACCGCTACTGGCTGGGCGCTCCGCCTCCCAGACCTTTCTGTCTGTGTATACAGTATATGTTCGGCGGTCCCTCTGCGCGCACGTTTGCTTTTGCTTGTACAAGAAACAGGATTGAGCCCTGGCTGGTTTGGCTCAGCGGTTAGAGCGTCGGCCTGTGGTCCAGAGAAACCTGGGTTCGGTTCCTGCTAAGGGCACATACCTCGGTTGCAGTTTGTCCCTGGCCCTGGTTGGGTCGTGCGGGTGACAGCCACTCGATGTGTCCCTTCACGTGGATGTCTCTCTCTCTCTCTCTCTCTTTCTCTCTCTCTGTCTCGCTCTCTCTCTCTCTCCCCATCTCGCTCCCTCCCATTCTATCTGAACAAAAAATGGAAAAATGTCCTTGGGTGAGGATAAAAAAAAGGAAGAAACGGGATTGATACAATAGCTATAACCAGAAAGTTACCACGTGTTGTGGTCATCTCTCCATGTCTTGATAGTGAACCTCTGTCGGTGTGACCAGGTTACATTTGCTTTGGCCAACGAAAAGCCATGCTTCTTGGGGCATAAGCTGCTGTTAAAGCCCTGGGTGGAGAGCTTGGGGGACTTACCCTTCAATTTCCAGGACAGGGTGAATAACATCTAATTTACTCAAGGGACTTTCAACCCTTCCCACATGCCCACCATCCCTTCTGCCCTCTTACTGCAGTCAGGGTTGTCTTTTAAAAACCCAGATCCCTCGGCTGCTTAAACTCTTCCTGTGGTTCTGCTTACTCTTGGGATGAACGTCAGACCTCTTGCTGGCCCTGCTCCCCGGCCCTGTACTCCTCAGTGCAGGGCCTTTGCATAGTCTGTTCCCTCCCCTGGGATGCTTTCCCCTGCTGGAGCTCTTTGCTCGACAGCATTGTTAGCTCTGACTCTCTGACACATCTTTCTCTGGGTACAGAAGACAAATCACTAAAAACAGCCGGCTTCAGGCCAAACATAAGGGCAAGTGTTTTTGGTTGGCACACCCCTTTGGGGTTGAATACACTCTTCTGAACAGGAAGGGTCCTCCTGCTGCACTGCTCCCCACTACCCTGCCAGACCCGGAGCTCCAGAGCGGGGAGTGCCTTGGATGTCCTCTCTTGTGTGCCACGGTGTCCCTGGGACCCAGGGCAGTGCCCAGCACAGTGAAGGAGTGGATGAGTGAACAAATGAATGAATGCTGAGAGAAACGCAAATCGATCAAACCTTGCCTAGCGATGTGAATCAAAGATCTTAAAAATGCTCATATGCTTTGATCCGGAAATTCCAGTCACAGGGCTTCATCTGAAGGCACAAAGATGTTCATCTTGGCATTGTTTATAGTGGGAAGTATTGGGAACAACTGAAATGTCGAACATCGGTAAGCACAAAACTGAACTCTTGATCTTCCCGCGCCATAAGCCATCGTTCCTTCCAGGCTTCCCAAGGCAGCAAATGGCCCCATCCATTCAGCTCTTCAACCAGAGACCTGGGCACTGGGATTTTATTTTATTTTTTATTGAGATACAACTTACCTAGGTAAAATACACAAATCTTAAGTGCACAGCTCAATGTGTGTGTTTTTGCTGTTGTTACCTATGTAGACATCCCTGAAACTACCACCCAGATGGAGACATAGAAATTTCTCAGCACCCAGGAAGTACCCCTCCTCCACCCAGAGGTAACCACTGTTCTGACTTCTGTTGCATTCTATGTTCTCTAACACCTAACAGCCAGCCTGCCGCTGAGGCTGCCAGTTCTCTGTTCCACACCTTTCTCAGGCCTATCACCTCGTTTTCTTTTTCTTTTTTATAGAGTGGGAGGGAGGAGAGAGAGGGAGAGAGAGCAAAACATTGATGTGATAGAGCCGCGTCGACTGGCTGCCTCCTGCACGACCAGACCAGGGCCGGGGACGAACCACAACCGAGGTACGTGCCCTTGACTGGAATCGAACCCATGACTCATTAGTCGGCGGGCTGACACCGTAACTGCTGAGCCAAACCGGCCAGGGCGGCCCATCACCTCTTATCTGGGCAACATCAGCCTCCTCAATTGTCCCCTCTCCTCTGGCACCACCCCCCCCAGCAGCTGGAGATCTGACCAGGTCGCACTCCTGCCTGGGGCTCCCCTAGGCTCCCTGATGCCCTCAGGGAAGTGCCCGCCTGTGTGCTGGACACCGCAGCCCGGATGAGGGGCCGGAGGCAGGATGGGAAGTCACTGGTCCACGGTTGCAAAGGCAGAACGCAGTGGAGCCGGGGGAACCTCCAGGTGTCTGCCTCCCGCCCCTGCTCTTCACCGCTCTGCTGCCTCCATGACCGCCTGCCTGGATGGATGGATGGATGGATGGATGGGTGGATGGGTGGATGGGTGGGTGGATGGATGGGTGGATGGATGGTCTAGGAACAGGTTTTCTTTAAAAAATACAGGTACCCTTTGGCAAAATCATATGTCCCATCACGAACCAGTTGTTGAATTTGGCTCTGAGGTCACTTTCTTGGTTGGAGAAGAGGAAAAGGAAAGGGTGGGGGAGGGGAGAGGTTCTAGCAGCACAGGTCCCTGGAGTGGACGCTTCCCTCCACTGTGGCACTTTCCTGAGCACTGGCCTTGACCTCAGTGGAGGAGCGCATCTTATCTGCCCACGTCTGAACCTTGACCTTCGCGGGTCGGGAGGCGAGGAGGGGCCCCTTGGGGGCGGGGCCTGTGGTTGGAGTGAAGAAAGCAGTTGCACAAAGCGAGAGCCTTACCACAGCCCGGCCCTGGCCGCCTGAGTCACGCTTGAGCGGGAGGAGAGAGGGAGGACCCTGGAGCCCTCGGTTTCAGGCTGCCGGAGGCCTCCGCAGACGGAGTCCTCACCTCATGAGCTCGGGCAGAGGCGCCTGGGGACCGGGTAAGAGGCGGGAGAGGGCCGAGGCTGGCGCACAGAACTCCAGGCCTGGGTTCGAGAAAGGTCACAGTCAAGGTCTGCCTCAAGGAGAGCACCAAACCACTCCTAATGCCAGGGTGCCTCTGACATGCCCCCTGTGTCCCCAGCACCCCGCACGGCGCCTGGCACACTTAGCACTCAGGGTTCACTGTTGAACGGACGAGAGAATGGATGAGTGCGCGGCAAGGCACCTCTGCTGCGCTCGGCCTTCAGAAACGGCTGTCCAGGGCCTCACATGTCCTGGGCCCCTGAAGACGCCCCTGGCCCTGTGGTGGCAGGCCTGTCATTTTTGCCCTCGCTGGGCATGCGGCTTGATTGTGCAGCGCTGGGCAATGACTGGCAGCTGGGCGCAAACGTGTCGCCCAGCCAGGAGAAAGAAGCGTTTTTCCTTTAGGATATGGTGTAATCAGAAGCCATACGGTGCCGTCCACAGGGCTGGCGGGGGTTGCTAGTGATGAGACAGGAGTGTCAGGTCTCCCGGGGCCATCGGACTGGGCTGCCTGCTCCCTGGCTGCAGCTTGTACTGGGAGATGGGGGCCAGGGGGCGGGGCAGCAAGGGACAGAGGGGGTCCTTCCAGGCTCCGAGCTCAGAACTTTCCCGGTGCACCCCATCCCACCCCACCCAGTGCTCTTGGCTGAGCAGTTGGTGATGGAGCAGGTGATGGTCCACGGCAGCTCTGACGGCAGCTCTGAGACAATAGCCCGGAGTGGAAACAGAATCCCGGGGCAGGCCAGGGCTCCAGCTGCGCCTGTGGGAGATGAACCCCATGGTCTCGCACCCCACTCTGGGCCTCGGCCCATCTCAGCCAGGTCTCCTCCTCACCTGGGCTCTCAGGAACCTCACACACACACCTGAGCAGTCCGCACACGTGGCTGCGGGCTAGCACCTCGATTTCCTGTCTCCAGAGTGAGGACAATAATGGGCCCACCTCCTGGGGTTGCTACAAGACAATGAGCTGATGTTTGCAGCACTGGGCACAGTGTTGCAGGTACAGTGAGCTACTGTGACACTAATCTTGTTCTATAATAATTATTATTTTATCACCAAGTGCTACTGCCCAGTTTGTGTCCCCAGACCCAGCTGAAGCTGCCTTTCAGCTGCCCTGTCGGGACGGCAGGAGGCTGTTCGTGTTGCCAGGTCTCCGTTGTTCTGAGAGCAAACTGCCTGCCCAGCCCGGGTCTGCCCCTCCCCGGAGTGCCGCCTCCACCTGCTCAGCGGTGACCCAGCCCGGCCCTGGTGGCCTTTGATGGGTCCACGTGGTCGTGCCCAGAGAAGGCCTGGCAGCAAACACGCAATGAGGAGGGGCTGCTGGCTGCAGGGCACTGGCCTGGGTCAACTCTGCTCCTCCGGGCAGGGAGGGCCTGGCTCCTGGGTGGTGGTGGAGGTGGGGCGCGGGCGGGGGCGGGGGCGGGGAGGCAGTGAGAGGCTGGCGCAGACAATGTCTCACCCCTATGGTTCCGAAGGACCAGCAGGACGGGGAATGGCCTTCAGAGGGGCCTTGGCTCCGGGGGAGCCAGTGCCCAGTGGAGGGTACAGACCCCTGCTAACTAGGTCGGGCGGGGCAGGTGGTGGTTTTGGTGGTGTCAGGGCAGCGCTGCCCTGAGGAGCCCGGATGGGGGCTCGCACTGAGGATGCCCCGGGGACAAGCTGCACCGACTGCGGTCACTTGTGTCCTTGTGAGTGGGAGGCAGAGGGAGAATCGACTCAGACACCCAGAGCAGGGGAGGGGGGCAGTGCGGCCACGGGCAGGATCGGAGCGCTGCGGCCACGGGGCAGGAAGAGGGAGGACAGACCCGTCTCCCGGGAGCTGCGGTCGGCAGCCCTGCCCACGCCTCGGCTTCAGACTCGGGGCCTCCAGAACTGTGAGGGAATCCATTTCTGGTTTTGTGTGTTTTGTTCTGTTTTTTAAATATGTTTTAATTGATTTTATAGAGAGAGGAAGGGAGTGAGAGATAGAAACATCGATGTGAACCCTGGCCGGTTTGGCTCAGCGGTTAGAGCATCGGCCCGCGGACCAGAGAGTCCTGGGTTCGGTTCCTGCTAAGGGCACGTACCTCGGTTGCAGTTTGTCCCCGGCCCCGGTTGGGGTTCTGTGGGTGGCAAGCAGTCGATGTGTCCCTCTCACATTGATGATTCTCTCTCTCTTCCCCCCTCTCTCCCTCCCTCTCTATCTGAAGATAAATGCAAAACATATCCTCAGGTGAGGATAAAAAAAAGAAGCATCGATGTGAGAGAGAAACATCCATCGGCTGCCTCCTGCACTCCCCCTAATGGGGATCCAGCCCACAGCCCGGGCAGTGCCCTGATCAGGAATCAATCCGGGACCTCTCCATTCTTAGGACAACGCCCAGTCCCTGCGCCACACCCGCCTGGCAATTCCTGGTGTCTTAAGTCATCAGATTTCAGCAGCCCCAGGAAACAAATAACAAGTGTGTAAACTCATCTCACCTGTTTCGTCTTATTTTTTTAACCTGGGAACGTTGAAGTGACCGTGTGGCTTGCACTCATGTGGCCTCAGTCCCTCTGGACAGCACTGCTCTGGAGAGCCGCCTGGTCCCGGTGAGCCGGACTGTCCGCTCCTCCACGTGTGGCCAGGGGAGCCTCCTCCTCCCTGGCTCCTTGTCGGAAATACGTTCCTGACCAGGACGGCTGTCCTCAGCGCAGTCCTTGGTCTCGGGTGCCAGCGGGTCTGGGCTCTGACCAGGACGGCTCTCCTCAGCGCAGTCCTTGGTCTCGGGTGCCAGGGGGTCTGGGCTCCGACCAGGACGGCTCTCCTCAGCGCAGTCCTTGGTCTCGGGTGCCAGCGGGTCTGGCTCTGACCAGGACGGCTCTCCTCAGCGCAGTCCTTGGTCTCGGGTGCCAGCGGGTCTGGCTCTGACCAGGACGGCTCTCCTCAGCGCAGTCCTTGGTCTCGGGTGCCAGCGGGTCTGGCTCTGACCAGGACGGCTCTCCTCAGCGCAGTCCTTGGTCTCGGGTGCCAGCGGGTCTGGGGCTCTATTTGCAAGTTGGCCGTATCAGTGAAATAGATCTTTAGTCTCTGGCTGAATCACACGAAGTGAACTTTCTCTGTGGACACCCCCTCTTCAAAACACACGAAGGCGTTGTCTTCATGTCCTGGGGCTGCTGTAACCAGGACCACAGGCTGGTCATTGCAATAACAGGACTCGACCAGCCTGTGTGGCTCAGTGGATTGGGCGTCGCCCCATGGACTGAGAGGTCCGGGTTCGATTCCCAGTCAGGGCACGTGCCCAGGTTGTGGGCTGGATACCCAGTAGGGGGAATGCAGGAGGCAGCCAATCAATGCTTCTCTCTCTCTCTCCCTTCCTCTCTAAAAAAATCAATAAAAACAAATTTAAAAAGAAAGAAACAGCAGAACATTGTTCTCCCATAGTCCTGCGGGCTAGAGTTCCGAAACCCAGGTGCTGGCTAGCTGGTTCTGGGGGTTCGGAGCAGGCCCCCTGGAGCCATGTGAGTCCTTCAGCAGAAGGGGGTGAGACCCCGAGCACTCAGCAGAAACGTTTGGCTCTCCCTCAAGGAGTTTCCACGGAGGCCGTGCCCATAGCAAGAGTAACCACCAGAAATAATGTTTATGGCCAATGTCTAGGGCAGGGCAAACTGCTCATCATCCCGTGAATGACCTTCCCAGTGCCCCCAGGCACCTTACCTTGCCCTTAGCTCAGAATGCCAAGTAATTCCCACTTAACTTTCTGTCTCTGAACCTCTCACGTATGTGGGGTTCCCATACGTATGTGTGTAATTAAATCTGGTTATTTTTCTTGGTAGTGTCTCATGTTTATTTAATTATTAGACCACCCAGAAAAACCTAGGAAGGTAGAGGAACCCCCCTCAGTTCCTTCTGGAGGCTCCGAGGGGCTCTCTCTCTTCTGGGGGCTGCTTCTCTGGCTGCTGGCACCCCTTGGCACCCCTTGGCTTGTGGCTGCATCAGTCCATCTTCACATGATCTTTTCCTCTGTGTCTGTCTGTTGACCTTCCTGCTCCTGTCTCTCATAAGGACACCAGTCACTGGATTTAGAGTGTTCCTTAAACCCAAGATGTTCTCATGTCAAGATCCTTAACCTAATTACGTCCGCAAAGACCCTGTGGTGGCTCATGTGTGTGTCAGCTTGACTGGCCCCCGGGTGCCCATACTAACATTGTTTCTGGGTGTGTCTGTGAGAGTGTTTCTGGTGAAATTAGCGTGTGAATCAGTGGGCTCAGCTTGCAGACGGCAGATCATGGGACTTCTCGGCCTCTGTAACTGCACGAACAATTCTTTATAATAATAAGTATGTCTCCGCATGTGCATGTGCGTCTCTGTCTCCCATTGTTAGTGTTTCTCTGGAGAACACTGACTAATACAGACCCTGTTTCCAATAAGGTCACATCCACTAGGACTTGGACATATCTTTTGGGGGGATGTTATTCAACACCCTACAAGCATCTTACCTGGCCTTGGGTAGAGGCCAGATGCAAAGAGGCTCAAGGCCCGGGCTCTGCGCCTGTGTGGTTCTGGGTTTGAACTCTCCACCTGTGATCTCTTTCCTATGGTTCTGTTCTCTTCCCTGCGCCTCAGGAACACTCTCTGAAAACTGGAGGTCATAGTGTTATGAGTACTTACCCCAAAAGGTTGATGTGAGACCCCTTATTAGCTATGTGACTGGTGAACTACTCAATAACTTCGTACCTCAGATTCTCATCTGTAGAATGGGAATAACAATAGTGCATACCTTAACCAGATGTTCTGAAGATTAAGTTAATGTTTCCTGGGCACATGGTGAACATTACAGAAGTTCTGTTTAAAATGATGCATGAGTCCGGTCGGTGTGGCTCAGTGCTTGAACGTGGACCCAGGCACCAAGAGGTCGCTGGTTCAATTCCCGGTCAGGGCACATGTCCAGGTTGAGGGCTTGATCCCCAGTGGGGGGCATACAGGAGGCGGCCAATCAATGTTCTCTCTCATCAATGTTTCTATCTCTCTCTTTCACTTCCTCTCTCTCTAAAATCAATAAAGGGGAAAAATAAATAAACAAATGAATAATTAAAATGATGCATGAGCCCTGGCTGGTTTGGCTGAGCAGTTAGAATGTCGGCCCATGGACTAAGAGTCGTGGGTTCGATTCCAGTCAAGGGCACATACCTCGGTTGCTGTTCAGTCCCCGGCTCTGGTCGGGGTCCTGTGGGAGGCAACCAGTCGATGTGGCTCTCTCACATCGATGTTTCTCTCCCTCCCTCCCTCCCTGCCCCCAACTCTATCTGAAGATAAATGGAAAAGTCCCCTTGGGTGAGGATTAAAAAAAAGAAAAGATGATAATGGCTGGCTCAGGGAAGCGTTCAGAAATGCCAGCGGACATGCTTGCTCGATGTACGAAACGTTGGCATCCATCGCATCAGATGGAGGCGGCGAGGCCCTCGGAGATCTGATGTGGCCCTCCCCTGGCTCGGACTAGGAGTGCCGCTCTTGCTCACGCTGTTGAGTCACCCCGAGCTTGGAATCGGGCAGGTTTCATGCAGCCGCCCAGGCTCAGTTCAGTGCTCTTTGTTGTCTATCTTGAAATTCCTACTAACTTTGGAACAAGATGTTTTGCCTTTTCATTTGGTACTGGGCCCCACAAGTCGTGTGACCGGACCTGCTTATAGCCTGTTCCTCCTGTGCTTGTGATAGTGAGGGGTCCCCAGCAAGGCGTGACGGTGGCCCTCGGTTCGAGCTGGCCCAGGCACACAGGGCTGTGGCCCCTCTGAGGGACCTTTACAGACGGGGTGTGAGGGCTGGAAAACGTGGGACCCGAAGACACGCTGGTGGCAGAGCAGTGGTTCTGCCTGGAAGAGGGGTTTAGGCTGGACCGGGTGTGTCCTCTAATTTCTGAAGGGCAGTGGGGAGGAGAAGGGAGCTTCTGTGTTGTTTGTGGCCCCAGAGGGCTGATCCAGCTCAGAACAAGGAAGGAATTTTTAACAAGGAGAATTGTGCAAGAAGGGAAGGCTGGCTGGCATTCAAGCCTCAGCTCTTCCTGGGGGTTAAGAGCACAGGCTCTGGCCTGGAACATCGCTACATCTGCCCAGATCTGTGACCTCAGACAAGGTCATTCACAGACCTGAGCCCACTTGGCCATCTGTAAACCGAACCTGATGGTGCTCCGGATGCAGGGCAACGCTGCTGAGGATAAGACGAGGCAGGTTTCTGCATAAAGCACATGAGGGCGCCTGGTTGCTAGGAGGTGCCTCTCGAGTGACAGCCGCTGCTGCTGCTCCTGTCATTAGCATCATTGTTACTGGCCGTGGTGAGCTCCCGGACTGGCAGGTTCAGGCTGAGAGGGATCATCGGGGAGCTGCAGACTCGGCCCTCGGCCCTCGCATCAGGGCTAACAGAGGATGCGTGCAGTTCAGCCCCTTGACAGCTTCAGCATCTAACATGCTTGGGTGATTAGCTGATAAAAACCACAGCCAGAAAATGCGGGCTCCGTGACAAGGGCCCCGAGGGACAGGGGGTGGTACTTCTTGTGGAGCTGAGGAAGTTTGGGTCTTGGAGATCGCTGAAGAAATGGGAAGAGTTCCCACCACTCGTGCCTTTGAAAACCCGGGCCAGCTGTCCCCTGAGCTGTTGCCGGCTGAACATGATCCCAGGAATGTAAAACTCCCCTCCGGGCCTCCTAGGAAATGGGTTCCTGATGTGCTGAGATCTGGACCCTGGAATTGCCCACGAGAAAACAGCGTCGTGGGCGGTGCGCGGGAGACCACGTGCCCCGCCTGCCGCTTGGGCATGGGAGGGTCCTGGCTCTCCTGGAGCCACCGCCTGGAACCACACCCGGGGGCACAGCAGCTTCCCTGGAAGTGCCTTGGCAGTGGTTGGTGCTGAGATCGACATTTCTCCTCTCCCTCCCCCACGCCGGCCCTGTCGGCTGTGTCCTGTCGGCTGTGTCCTGTCGAGTGGCAGTCAGGAAACACTCTGACCACAGCAGTAGCGGATCTGAGGCTGGAGCCCGAGAGGCAACAGATGGGTTCCATCAGGGCCACACTTGGTCAGAACTTGGAAGGGCCAAGTGTCTCTCCCTTGGGACGGGCGGGGGTTGGGCAGCACACCAGCCCCAGAAAGTCACAGGCATTTCATGTGCACATTCAGGCTCCATGCACACACCGTGTTAGGCGTGTAAATACAGCCGTGAACACGGCGGTGGCGCCGGCTGTTCTCTTTTCAACGTAAAACCAACCATTTCAAATGCGCAGCTCAGTGGCATCGGCTGCCCCCGAAAGCCTGCTTGCCCGAGGCAGTCACCCTTCCCCATCCACCTGCACCCCGACAACCTCCAGTCCCCTTTCTGTCTCTACGGGTGTGCCTGCTACAGACATCTCCTAGAAATCAGACCATGCAGTGTGCAGGTTTTGTGTCTGGCTGCTCTCACTCAGCAGAGTGAGTCTCAGGTTAGATCCACACAGAAGGGCGGATTGGTGCGTCATTCCTGTTCGTGGCCGGATGACAGTCCGTGTGTGGCTGTCCAGTCTTTTCTTACCACTGGACCTTACTGCTGAGCCACCCTGCTAGTCCTCATTCCCAAGAGTGGATGAGCTCCCTGGGGATTTTCTGACCCAGGGGAACTTGGAGAGAGTGGAAGGGACCTTAAATGATGCATTAAAAGTTGCTGAGTCTTGAGTGCTCCCATGTACCAGTTCCTCTGGGCCTGAGCCCACAGCCCCACAACTAGACGGGTCCATCCTCTGTGACAAGCACAGCCACCCTGACCAAAGCCTGCCTATGAGACCCATAGCAACCTGAGCGCCAGGCCACGTGTCTCTAAAATAGGTCTCATGGCCCGGCCGGTGTGGCTCAGTGGTTGAGCATCGACCCTGCACCAAAAGGTCACCAGTTCGATTCCCGGTCAGGGCACATGCCCAGGTTGTGGGCCCGATCCCCAGTGGGGGGCATGCAGGAGGCGGCCAATCAATGCTCTCCCTCATCGATGTTTCTATCTCTCTCCCTCTCCCTTCCTCTCTCTGAAATCAATAAAGAAAAAAATTTAAATAAAAAATAAACTCAGTTATAAAAAGAAAAAAGAAATCCAAGTCAAATTAGCTTAATTCAACAAATCACAGCTGTGCCTAGATGTCAGGTCAGGCACAGGACCAAAGCTTGAGGCTCATCAGTGAACAAAACCAAGGTGGCTGCCCTAGGAAGCCAGGTGTCCCACGGCCGAACGGTAAACACGCTCTCAGCATGTCATTCACTGAGCGTGCTGTGGAAGTGGGGTGGGGACAGGCTGCAGCCCTGACGAGGGTGGATCTTATCAGGGGAGGAGAGATCTGATCAGACTTGAAGGTGAGGTGTGAACCCAGTGCATGCCTGCGGGGAGAGAGTCCTGGCAGGAGGATCAGCCAGAGCACAGGCCCAGAGAGAGGACAGGGCCTGGCGTGTGAGGACCAGCGGGGAGGGCAGTGGGACTGGCTGAGTGAGGTGGGGAAGCAGTGACCGATGGGTTCAGAGAGAACCGCATGGGGACCAGATGGGGCAGGGCCATGCGCATGGTCCCAACTTTTACTCTAAGATGGGCGCCCCTGCAGCGTTTGATGCAGAGGAGGGACATGCGTTTCCTTTTTTGTTTGTTTAAGCAAAAAAGGAAACTCCTAGATTCCTAGACCCGGATGAGTCAGAGACTGGGGCCTCGTTGTCTCCTCCGAACACAGCCTCTTCCCTGCAGGGAGGGGACGACTGCGCACAGCTTCAGGCCAAAGCCAGCCCAGGGCCAGACCTGGAGCCAGAGGGCTCTGTGACACAGACAGACATCAGTGTCAGAACAGAATTTCCCGGGGAAGGTCTCTGATTGGCTATGCTTCGACCAAGCAGTGGCCGATGTCAGTACCGTTGTAATTGGCTGGTCTAGGTCACATGGCTACCCCCACCAGAATAGCGGCAAGAGGGGAACAGGTCCTGAAAGGAAGGGTGTGATTTCCCAAAGGAAGGTAGGACAGAGAGGTGAGCTGGCCGGGGGAAAACAACCGTCCTTCATTGAACTGCTCATCTGGAGGGAAGTCTAGGGATCCCGCCCGGTGGGCTTCTGTCCCAGGAGGGTCTGCAGAGCCATCAGAAAGAGCTCACAAATCAACCTTTTCCTCTTCTGTGGACCACATGCCGCGTGTCGCAAACAAGCCTTCCCAGAGGAGGGTCAACGCTGCAAGGATGACTAGAAAACCAATCCGCCCAAACAGATCCCTTCAAGGACAGCCCTTTTTTTTTTTTCTTACTCACTGTTTCCCCATCCTTGGCTGGAGAAAGCCCCAGCAATACTCACTGAGGTCAGGCACCCGCAGGGAGGTGGGGCTACTTCCTCCTCTCTCTCGGCCTCCTCTGAAGTCAGACAATTGCACAGCTGAAGGCCTGGGTCTCTGACCCTCAGGAAATGCCAGGCAGGGGGAGCTGGGAGAGGCCCTGGGGCTTTAGACACCGCAGCTCCTCCTTGCCCAGGGACGCAGAGTTGTGACGCCAAACTTCTGTGGGCTTTCGAAATAAATGCAATAAAAAAAAACACCCAATATGCAATAAAGGAACAACTGAAGATAGAGCGGAGTGAATTTTACATATATATCTGCCTGTGTACCATTACCTGGGCCAAATAGAAAGTATTTCCAACACCCGGGGGGCCTCTTCCAAGGACCCAGCCAGTGCCTGCGTGGGTCCCATGCAGGCCGGCAGAGAGCACCCCTACCCCCTGCCCTGCTCCCCCTCCCCTGGCAAGGCAGGGAGCACCCCTCTCATTTTACAGGCAAAGAATGTAGCTGGAGCTCAGGGGAATGTCACACCCGGTCCACCACCAGGAACAACACGGCCCTTCCCCCCGAGGGAGGCTTCAGGAACATTCTTGGATAAAGATCAGAGAAGAGTTGTCCTCATTGCCAGGCTTGGCTCACTGGGTGATTCCAGCAGCTGATGAGGCGAAGAATCCTACCGTGAAGTCCCACACGTCCGTCAGGAGGGCTTCCCTAGAAACTCGCTCATTTTCGGCCTCGGGTTCCAGCAGGTAATAACGCGCCCTTTGCCCACACTGGTTTCCCCAGTGTGCTGGGGAGGTTTCCATCTCGTTCCAGAAGACCTACTAGGGCTGGGCCCGACTCCCAGTCAAAGGAGGGATCCACAGCGACCGCCCCTCTCGGGCTCCCTGGTCCACCCTACTGGGGGTGGTACAGCGCCAGACCCCATAGCTGAGCTGTCTGGCGAGGAAGACAGCTACCTCCGGCCGTTACCCCGAGGTGGGGGCAAGGGGGTCTGGCGTCCGTGTTCTCAGACAGAAACATCCAAGGAGCAAGGCTGCCCAGCTCCCCCCGACACGCAGTCAGAGATACAACAGATTTCAGGACATCCGGTACTTTCTATGCCCTGTCCCTGCTGGTGACCCAGCGCTGGCTCTCAGAGCAGGACAGCCCCGTCGGGCAGCCCACGCTCCACAGACATGGTATCGCTTTGTGGGTGCATCTTTTGTCCAGATAAAGGAAGGTCTGGCATGTTGCAAACGGACAAGAAGCTCTCCCCACCTCCCCCCTCTCCACCCCCCCCCCAACAGCAAGGGCATGGTCTCCAAGTCTCCCTCCTGGCAGACCTGCGAGGTAGGAAGTCTTATCCCCATTTTGAGGAAGCAGAGGCTCAGGACTCATGCTGATGGCGGGGCTAGGATATGCCAGGTGCTTGATAATTAGACATGACTTTTTTTCTTTATTGATTTGAGAGAGAGAGAGGAAGAGAGAGAGAGAGAGAAACATCGATGAGAGAGAACATCCATTGGCCGCCTCCTGCATGCCCCCCGCTGGGGATCGGGCCCACAACCTGGGCATGTGCCCTGACCAGGAATCGAACCGGCTGCCTCTTGGTGCACGGGTCGACGCTCAACCACAGAGCCACACGGGTGGGCCAGATAAGGAATGTTAAAAAAACACCACAGGCCCCAAATGGCGTCACTCATGCTGCAAGCCCAGGACACCAAGCCTAGATTTAACACCTGATCCAACCGCCGTGTCACTTCCCCCAGGATCATAGCTAACCTTCGCTTTTGTGGACCTCAATTTAATGGACTTCCGATTTAAAGGACAAAATTTCCGTTCCTGTGTCCCATGTGAAAATTAACACCCTGTTAATTTAAAAATGCTTTTTACCAAGATTTGCTTATAATTAAACAGGTTGGTTTTTGTTGTTGTTGTTGTTGTTATTAAGTCACTGTTATTTTTTATTTATTTATTTTTTTGGTACATGCCCCTAGTGGGAACTGAACCCAGGACTCACTGGTCCGCAGGCCAACGCTCCAGCGCTTCCACTCCAAGAGTAGGAGGGATAGAGAGAAACATTGACGTGAAAGGGACACATCGAGTGGCTGCCACCCACGTGACCAACCAGGGCTGAGGACAAAGTGCAACCGAGGTACGTGCCCTTCACGGGAACCGAACCCGGGTCTATCTGGACCGCAGGCTGACGCTCCAACCGCTGAGCCAAACCGGCCAAGGCAGTCACTGTTATTTTTAACGAGTTTTGGCGAATAGGTCCTATGTTGGAAAAAATACTAGTAATTTCACCAACATAAATAAATATTACATATCTGCAACTATAGTCTACATCTTTAACCCAAGAGTCACCATTCATAAAGCAGTGTTCCATGAATGATCAGCACGTACTCACAACGAATGGAATCGCGAGGGGTGAGGGGTCATCGGTTCTGTTGTCGCAGGTCCTGACTTTCTAACGGCATGGGCCCGGTCCCCTCGCGCTAAGCCACGCCCCAGCCGTGTGCATCTGTTCACTCGCCGTGACTGGGGAACGCACGCATTTACTAGACCTATTCAGTATAAATTTAAAATTACTGTAATACATAGAGAAAACTTTCCTGTGAAATTAAACTTTTCATACATAGTTCATTCTAATTACACAAACGTGTCTACATAAGTAAAAACAGGTAAACTGAGTCATCAAATTTTTAACATACACCTTCGGAAAACCTAGTTTATTATATAACAGACTTTTGGCTTTAACAACACCCTCTCACCCGAATTAGTCTTTTATAGCGAGGTTTTACTGCATAATCGTAACCAACTGGTCTGGAATTTTCTGATCAAACACCAGTAAAGTAATCTGTCGTGTGGGCCCTCTCCACCCTGCACACCACCCGGCACAGGAAGAAGAGGTGCTCTCCTCTACAGAGAGATCCCTTCATTCCAGGCAGGGCACATGCCTGGGTTATGGGCTCGATCCCCAGTAGGGGGCGTGCAGGAGGCAGCTGATTGATGTTTCTCTTTCACATCAGTGTTTCTGTCTCTCCCCCAAAAAATCAATAAAAATATTAAAAAAAAAAAAAGAAAGAAGAGGCAACTTGCATGATAAAACCTTCCCCCTGCCCACCCCCACAGTGTGGCTCAGTGGTTGAGCATCGACCCCTGCACCAAGAGGTCACTGGATGGATCCTGGTCAGGGCACATGCCCAGGTTGTGTGCTGATCCCCAGCGGGGGGCATGCAGGAGGCGGCCAGTCAATATTCTCTCTCATCGATGTCTCTATCTCTTCCTTCCTCTCTCTCTAAAATCAATAAAGAAAAAGTTAAAAGAAAAACTCAACCTCAAAGTCCTTTCTTTTCTTTCACATTTAGCTCCCTTGCCTCCCACGCCTTCCTATCAACAAAGGCCTTAGATTTTTGTACAACCCCTTGGAGGGCCCTTCTAGTTAATAAAGCTGGTGATCGAACCTGTGAACCTGCAACCCAGGTACGTGCCCTTGATAGAAAATTGAATCTGCTTGGTCCGAGGGCCAATGCTCTAACTACTGAGCCACACTGGCCAGGGCCCAGTTAGATCTTCAAATTTACTCAGTTGAATTTTGTTTTGTAACAGGAAATAGATCAGAAAGCAGGTAAGGATTTGCCAGGGAGGTGTGGCCTGGGGACACCCCCAGCTCCCTGCTGTCCCAGAACCTGGGGTCAGTTCTGCAGCTGGGAGTGGGCGGAGCTGAGCGCAGCCTGGCCCCCCGCTGCTCTCCCCGCCTCCTCGGGCTCTAGAGCCGGCTTCAGGCTCAGCCACACGCCTGCCTTTCATCCCCAGAGCTCCCACTATCAAGATGCCTGCTGCCCCTGTCCCGGCGGTCGTAAGCGGCCAGGTGCTCCCGGCCTTCCTGCTCTGCAGTACGCTGCTGGTGGTCAAGATGTACGTGGTGGCCGTCATCACGGGCCAAGTGAGGCTGCGGAAGAAGGTACGTGCTGCCCCGGGACCCCAGTCCTGGCTGTGCACTCGCTCCCCCTCTCCCTGCCAAAGTGGTTTCAGGGACCGAGCATGAGGGTGCGGCCGTGGGTGGGCAGGGCGGGGGACCCCGTGCCTCCCCCGGGATGGCTCCTCCGTGGCCCTGCGTTTTAGCAGGGTCCGCACCTTCCTCCCTGGAGAGATTTGCTCACTCGCTGTGCCACCAGGTAAGTTCCGGGCACGACGGGACTCGATGAGTGCGGCTGAGTTCTTGAGACTCCGGTCCCGGGGTGGAGCGGGGCGGCTTCCCAGCACAGGAGATTTGATATTTGGGTGGGGAGGGAACCGGCGAAACAGGACCCAGGAGCTCTAAGTGGAAATTCCCAGCTTGCTGGCCAGGTCACTTGCAAAAGCCTCCAGAGGCCGCGGGCAGCTGAGCTCCACCGGAGCTGCAAGGGAGGGGTGACCCCTCCAGTCGGAGCCCCTGAGCCCAACAGCAGCCAGGCGCTGAGCTCAGCCAGGGGCAGCAGGTCGGGGTCTCTCTCACACTGACAGCAGGAGTGAAGTTGCGGACCAAGCTCGCCCCCACTGGCAGCGTTGTTAGACTGGACGCGGTGGGCACCTGCTGGTCACACCCCTGGCATTTCAGTGGAGGAATCGGTCCTGGAAATGTGCCCCTTTGTCTCCTCACTTTGTCCAGGTCACAGGCAAGGAGGCTGGGGGGACACTGGGCAGCTGGTCTCAGCCCCTGGCACAGGCATAGGCAGGACTGAAGGGGGCAGCTCACCAGGTGAAACACCTCCTGGAGCACAGGCCACTGATCACCTGGCCTCCCCCTGCCTGGGCCGGTCAGGCTACTGGCTACGGCACCCAGCAGGGGCCGCTGCTTCCCCCACTGAGTCCTTGCTAGGGGCTGAGTTCAATCCCCCCAGGGCCCTGGGGAGGGGCGTGTGCACCTTGCTTTCCAGGTGAGGAGCCTGGGCTGGAGGGGAGACATGAATTACTTTGCCGGCCACACAGCTGGGTTTGAGTCCAGGTGTCCAGCTGCAGTTTACACCCGGCCACAGGGGGATGGGCTTCTCGACAGTGGGTGCAGGGCCCCTGGGCTCTCCTTCTGCCCTGAATTCGGGGAGGGGGGAGACACGCCTGTCTGCCTGGTCAGTGGGGGTGGCAGGGGAAAGCTTACCCTCAGGTTGTCCCCAAGGTACTGTTTACTGTCTACAAAATTTCCTCTCGTTTCTGCTTGGGGAGGTGACAGGGAGGTGACAGGGAGGAGTCGGGCCTGGCTCCTTTACCCACCACTCTTGGGACCTTGGGCAAGTCTGGGAGCTGGGTTTCCTCATCTGTACCCTGGGGGTAGTCGGAGTAGGAGCAGGAGAATTCCATTCCTGGTACAGAGGAAATGCTCCCCAATGTTAGTTCTCATCGCGTATAACAACTGGATCCCTTGATGGGGTGCATCCAGGGGCCACCGCCTCCCTCCCCCCAACTATAGGTGGTGTTACCAGAGGGGGGACCGGGCCCGAAGGGAGTCTGCCTTGGGCTGGCCAGTAGTATGTGGGTTCTTGACTTTGAGCAGGAAAGATTTCAAAATTCGAGGCCAGATGATTTTGAGAGTACGTTTATTAATGCCGGGGCGGTGAAAGCAGGAAGGGCCCAGGACAGACGCCCCAGGAGAGAGCCTTGGGGGGCTGCTGTGGCTCCCTAGAAACGCCACGGGAAAGAGGTGAGCCTGGGAGGGGCTGTCAGCTCGCAGGAGAGTCAGAGAAAAGGGGCCTGGGGGACGAGCTGCCGCCGCCCATTGCTGCCCTGGTTGCAGTCTCGTGGGGACCCCGAGAGTTTAGAAGAAAGAAAATTACCTCAAAGAGGAAATTTGAGTGAGCATCCTGAGAGTTTTATCTGCTTGCCAAAGGAGGGGATTTTAGGGCAGGTCTCAGGGGAGGATCTCAATAAAATGCTCAGCTTTTCCAGGTGTGTCCTTTCAGAGTGTGGTCTCCACTGACTGATCGGCACGAGGACGGGGGTCATTAGTCAGCGCAGCTGGCCTTGCCAGTCTCCTTCCTGGCTCTGCTGCTTTTCTGGGCTGAAGCCGATGCTATTGCTGGGAGAAAAGTCAGGGGAGGGTCCAGACGGAACGGCCAGCCATGTGACATGTCAGGGGAGGAAAGGCCACCGTGGGGTGAGGTCTGACATCAGTTTTGCAGGACGGTCAGACCTGGTGATTCCATGGCCTAAGGGCCAGTGGAGAAGAATTCTGGGTGTGGGGGGTCGGATCCTGAGACAGGCATCCAGGCTGAGCTCCATTCACCTCTGGGGGAGGAGGAGCAGGGGCAGGCCCACCAGGCAGGACACACCAGTGCTTGGGGACAGCTGTCACAAGGGCTCTTGAATCAGAGCAGCAGGATTTGTCATTGGGTGAACAATCTGGAAAACCTGGTGCTGGGGTCAGGTTTGCTGACTTGGTGGGACTGGCTTACCCGGGTGCCAGCAGGGGACAGCGGAGCGAGTGATGGGCGTGGGCCTTTGATGGCCTGAGTGTGACCGCAGTGTGCTTTCCACCCACAGTTCACTGAGTGCCCATCTTCCTGCCCCAGAGCCTTTGCACGTGCCGTTCCTCTGCCTTGACGGCTGTTCCTCCCTCCCTCCACCCCTCCCTCCGGTTCCTGTTGAGCACCCTTCAGACCGGCCTTTTAAATAATCTTCACCCGAGGGCATGCTTAGAGCGAGAAAGAGAAAGACTGACCGAGACACATCAATCAGTTGCCTCCCACAGGACCCAGACAGTGCCAGGATCAAACCTGCAACCGGGGTACATGCCCTTGACCAGGAATCAAACCCATGACCCTTCGGTCCATGGGCTGACGCTCTAACCGCTGAGCCAAACCAGCCAGGGATCTCTAGGGCTTTTTTATAAGAGTACAGTATCATTCCGAAGGACTCCAGCCCTGGCTGGTTTGGCTCAGCGGTTAGAGCGTCGGCCTGCAGACCAATGAGTCCCGGGTTCGATTGCAGTCAAGGGCATGTACCTCAGTTGTGGTTCATCCCTGGCCCTGGTTAGGGTCGTGCGGGAAGCAGCCACTCGGTGTGTCCCTCTCTCATCGATGTTTCTCTCTCTCTCCCTTTCTCTCCCTCTCTCTCTACCTGAAGATAAATAGAAAAATATCCTTGGGTGAGGATTAAAAGAAAACCAGAAGGACTCCACTCTCATGACCTAATTTCCTTCCAAAGGCCCCACCTTCAGATACCGTCGCACTGCGGTTCGGTTCCAGCATTTGAGTTTGCCGGGCCGTGGGCATTCAGTCCCTGGCAGCCTCGTTCACGGAGAGTGCCCGCCCTGAGCACGCTGCGGGGGTCCATGATGCTGGCGAATGGACACGGACGCGGCCGGGCCACGGTAGACCAGGCGACCGGGCCGTCCGTCGCACGAACAGTAATTCTCGGCTGATGTATTTCAGGCTTTTGCCAACCCTGAGGACGCCCTGAGACACGGAGGCCCCCAGTATTGCCGGAGCGACCCGGACGTGGATCGCTGCCTCAGGCAAGTACCCCTGGGCCTGAGCCTGGCCCCTGAACACTGGGGCTTGGAGGTACCTGGGGGCCAAGGCCTCCTGCCTTCCTGGCCCCCTCAGACTGTTCTTCATTCATGGATTTGATTTCTAACTGTGGGAAAGTAAGACATGCTGATGACTCAGGGGCAGAGTCAGAAAAGGATGTTCCGTGAATGGCCGGTCCCTGGCCCGCTCTGACCTCCAGGTCCCGCCTCGTCCGCTCCCCAGGGCAAACGCTGTCGCTAGTGTTTTCTGCCCTTACAAACACACGCGCTAAGCTTTGTCCTGCTCACCCCCAAAGGGTCACCCTTGCTCTTTGTCACATCAACAGAAATTGTTTCACATCGCCTCAGAGAGGGGCCTCATTCACTGTTCGGGTGCTATAGCATGGGTCGGGACTGCAGAACGGGGGTCCTTGGCCCCCCGCCGAATTCCCTCTGATGGCATTTAGGCTGCTCTCTCTCTTTCTGTTACAATCGGAACCTCTCGTTTGCCTTTGTCTGCACGCGTGAGCAAAACTGTGGGATGCAATGACATGGTAAGGAATATTGCCAGGGCCCTGGCTGGTTTGGCTCAGGGGTAGAGCATCGGCCTGCGGACCAACAAGTCCCGGGTTTGATTCCGGCCAAGGGCACGTACCTCGGTTGTGGCTCATCCCCAGCCCTGGTTGGGGTCATGCAGGAGGCAACCAGCCGATGTGTCCCTCTCACATCAATGTTTCTCTCTCTCTCCCCCTTTCTCTCCCTCTCTTTCTACCTGAAGATAAGTAGAAAAATATCCTCAGGTGAAAATTTAAAAAAAAGAAAGAAATATTGCCAGACCATTTTTCTTATTCAAAAAAGCAGAACTCCGTGTTGTTGGCTATGTGGCTCGTGTTGACGACACATAGAAGAAGTAAAGAAAACCACTCACGAGTCTTAGCACGGTTAACATTTTCTTCTAGCTCGTCCTTGTCTTCTGGGTCTAAATGTTTTTCAAAACATTAGGCACGCATGCATTGTATACCCAGTTTGGGGGTTCTGGTTTTTTTTTTCAGTTAACATTATTTCATGAGCATTTTCCATGTTTGTAACTATTACTCAAAAATTATTCTTAGCCCTGGCCAGTTTGGCTCAGCGGTTAGAGCGTCGGCCTGCGGTCCGGAGAGACCCGGGTTCGGTTCCCGCTAAGGGCACGTACTTCGGTTGCAATTTGTCCCCGGCCCTGGTTGGTCGTGCGGGTGGCAGCCACTCGATGTGTCCTTCATGTCGATGTTTCTCTCTCTCTCTCTGTTCCTCTCTCTCCCTCCCACTCTATCTGTACAAAAAGTGGAAAAATATCCTCGGGTGAGGATAAAAAAAAAAAAAAAAATTATTCTTAAAAAATGGCTGTGTAAAAATTCCATCAGAGACGAAGGGTTCACTTCATGTCTCCAGTCTCAGTATTGGACCTCTGGACAGTTTCCTCTCTGCTGTGTTACATGGGGGTGGGAGGCGTGGCTGGAGAGAGGGGGTGACCCTCCTGGGGGGGGTGTCAGCGGAGTTCCATGGAGAAGTGGGGAGGTGAGTAGTAGCTGAACAGGAGACAGGAAACAAACCCTCACACAGGGTTTCTGCATCCCAGGCAGAGCTGGGCGGGACACTGTAGTATAAGTAATAGAGAGTATTTTCTTAAAAAGAAAGTCCGTATTTTATTTTCTTATGGTTTTCTTGGCCGTAGAAACTAATATACATACTTGTGGCTTTTAGAAATTACAAAAATGCGTAATGTAAGAAGTGAAGTTCTTTGCTATTTCGCCTTTTCTGATGTAACTACAGTATGTAGTCCTTCATATGAGGCCCATCCATCCATCATCCTCCAGGCAACGTTTAATGAGCACCTACTATGTGCAAGACACTTTGCTGAGACCTCGCGTGCTTCAGTGAACAAAACCTTGCCCGTACTTGAGTCCATACCGGGCACCCTTATCCCACCCTCACCCCGGGTGGGGTGACCCCCGGGCAGTGGAGGACATGAATTGTCGAGCAAGCTGCCAAGACCGATGAGTCCAAGCCAGCTCACGGCAACCGCAACAGGGATGTTTGGCTTCTCCCAGGGTTTGGGGGTTCTGTGTAGCCAACTGTACTTGTGGCATGGGAGCGATTACACGGGCTTACAAGCACTTGGTATATTTTTACTGGCCATAACCCTGCTGGCGAGAGGCATTTCCACCCACCCAATCCAGTTCTTTCTTCTGATCAGAATTCCCGACCAGCTGTAATAGAACTGATGCTAAAATGGTTGAGGTTCAACTCAGCACGTTTTGGCCGCCCCTTATCTAATGTATATACACTCGGCAAGTCCTGGGGAGCTACCATGCCAGACCCAGGGATCCTGGCCCCCTGGGCTCCTCCTCCTCCTGACTTCACATAACAGCATCACAGAACCTTGAGGGTGCCCAGCTCAGACTCGCACCTCCTGTCCTCTGCAACTGGAGAGCTGGCTGGAACCCAGTTCAAGGGGAAGAGGCCCTGGAGGTAAAAGCTAGTTAAATATTCGACCAGCGGTTTGTTCGCAGTGTAGTCTGGTGACCCTTCTGCACAAACAGGAAAGCCCTCGGGTCCCAGTTCTTGGAGGATAAATCTGCCTTGCAGATGAGCACCTGCTGGAGCCCGAATGTGAGCCCTGTCCTGGGCAGTCAGGAAAACAACGGCACCCACCTTCTTCGTGCTAGCCGCCCACGTCTCCGACAAAGCGAATCTCGGAACTCTGGAGGGTGTGTAGGAAGCTGCGGTGAGGGGCTATCTGAGCGGTCCCAAAGCTTGACCGAGCTCGGAGCTGTTTCTGACTATTCGAAGTGTGCAGACTTAGTCTGAGCGAACTGCTCCGACAGGGTCCCCAAATTGCAGCCCTTAGACATCACCTACCACCTTGCTTTTCGGGGGGGGTGAGCCGAGGCACAGGGAGGGAGGGAGCCGTGCCCGAGGCCGAGCAGCTGACTAGTACCTGGGCAGAACTGCAGGCTTCTAGCCTAGTCCTCCCTCCACCGCACCAGCAAATGTTTTTATTAATTTGGCCAAGGCAGCTGAGGGCGATCAGGAGTCTGGCAAAACCAAGAGGGTGCAATTAGCTTTAACAAAGCGTGTCTGAGACAGGGCTGGTGATGGTGGTGACGATGATGACGGAGGAGACAGCTTGCCTAGGATGCTCCTGCTCAGTGACAAGGGCTGTTCTAAGGCACCAGCTCCCGGCCCTCCCAGCAGCCTCCCGGGAGGGCACTATTACCTGTAGAGGAAGAAACTCGTGCCAAGGCCACAGAGCTCATGATGCACAACTGAGCCCAGACCGGCTCTGCTCCTAAAGGCTCTCCCTCTGCAGGAAGACGCTTGACTGTTTCATTCCTGCCTTGAAAACTGAGCAGCCTTTATGTTGCCGGAAACCTGAATTCAAGGAAATCACCAACATGTGCGGGCAAAGGGCGAGGAGAGACCTGCAGCGGCCGCCAGCTTTGTCCTTGGGGGGCCGAGGTCTCCCTCCCCACCCTGGCGCCTGAGGCTGTGTTGCAATGCCTGCTGCTGGGGAGGAGCAGCCCGGTTGGTGCGAGGGGGGGCATGCATGTGCAGTCTGGCGGGGACTGGCTTTGGTGACTTCTAGCTTTAAAAACGTGGTGGTTGTGGGAAGGACACATTTTGCCCAAGTGTCTCTGCGTCTGTGACTCCATCTGTGTCTCTCAGTTCAGATCCTGGGGGGAGAAGGAAGGGGAGACGTTTTCCTGCAGCAGCTCGAGGTTCCCCATGTCTCCCTGTCCTTGGCCCCAGGTGGTCTGAGACCCAGCAGAGGGAGGAGAGGGGACCAGGGAGGCTGCGGGGCAGGGCTTCAGGCGTTCCTCGGCCCCCAGCCACCTGGCCCTCCTCGCTGGTGGCCTCTGAGTCTTCCCGTCCCAACTGCTGGCACCAGGTGGTGGCCCCTCGGCCTGGTTTCCTGCGGGCGTCCACCCCCCTCAGCCCCGCGGGGCAGAGCAGGGCACACGTGCTCCCTCCCTGGCCTTCCCCCACCTGCTCTTTGGGGGTTTGCCCAGCTATTCTCTTAACTGCCGCTAAAACAAGACTCATTCCTAACATATAAGTAGACACTTTAAGGAGAAGTGAAGAGTGGGTTTGGTATGCTAGTCATGCTATTCCTGAAGCCCTCAGATAAAAACACAGAACTGTGACGAAACGACACGTTTCCCTGGAGCGACAGCGAGACCAGCGTGGGAAACCCGTTCGTTTGGATGCTTTTCCTTAAAGAACTCGGCCTGCGGGCTGGCGAGGCCTGAAAGCTGTCCCGCCTCGGGCCCTCCCGGAAGGCAGGAGTCCACGGGCGCCGGGCAGGGCGGGGGACGGCACTGTGGGCGTCACTCATCGTAGGGGCGCAGGGGTGGAGCTGACCCAACGCACGTAACAGACAGAAATACTCACGCAGGTTGCGTCATCTCGAGGGCAGACAGACTGCATTCGGGGGCGCACTGACCGCATCTAAAATAGGCTTTCCCAAGGTGTCCCCCCAAGAGGCATGGGATGTCGGGGTCCCAGCTCCCCCCGGGCGGAGCGATCGGAGGCCCTTGCAGCCTCTATAACTCACAAGTGCGGCAAGGGACCTGGCCGGCGGGAGCTGGAGTGGCCCCGGTCCTGTTTCCCGTCTCCCTCTTCCCTGTGGCCAGGGTCTGGCCAGGGCCTCTCTCTGGGGTGGGAGGCAGCAGTCCCCCGCCCCACTGGGTGAGACCTGCCCCCCAGGCTTGCTTTCCCTGTGGCCGGGTCCTGCGGTCCAGACCCCAGAGAAAGGAGAAGGCAGGCCCGTGTGGGCTCCAAGCGGGAGGGACAGAGACACCTATTGCTGCGTCCTGAGTTTGATCTGAGAAAGCCCCAGGCCCCGCTAGGTTTACGGGAACTTTTGTGCGCTCAGGTTGAATTCCAGACTCCTCACCCTGCACCCCGGGTCCCCTCTCCACGCTCACCCCGCCAGGCTCGCTCTCAGGCACCACACTGCAGCCACGGGGGTCGCTGTTCGCTGCCCTGAGTACACGGTGCTCATCCCCACAGCGGAGCTGTGCACCTCTCCCTGCAAAGTTCTTCCCCTGATGGACAGCCCGGCATCACTCAGGCTCGGGCCCCCTCTCCTCCCTGACCACACCCGCCCTGGCAGAGCCCTGGATGGCCTGCAGCTCGGGTCCCCTCCCTGCCCGGCCCAGTTCCTTTCTGTCAGGCCGCATGTCACCGCCCTTGACGAAGGGTGACGGAAGGGAAGAAGGGGCTCGGCAGCAGTCACCACCCAGGGGTGCTGGGCTGGCCTGGGCACACTGGTGAGGCACCGGCGAAGTGCATGCCAGCTGGGAGCCTGGGCATGAGGCTTCCATTCCAGCAGAGTCCCTGAGCCTCACGGGGCCTGGCCTGCGGGGGTCACGGTGGGCACCGGGCTCCTGTTTATGTGAGCTTCCAACATGCCATCCATGGCTTCGGTCCCTTGTTCCGTCTCTAATCCATGGGACTCAACCTCCCCATTCTCCGGAGAGGAAGCTGTTCATTAGCTGGAGTCATGGAAAATGTGAACCGACTCTGAGCTGAACTGCGTGAGTTTTCTTTCTCGGTCATTTATTTTCGTCAGGGTCACACACGGGCCTCCCCGCCCCCCACCCCATACTCACGCACTTGATTGTTTTAAACAAAAAGGAAACCGGACAGTGAGGATGAGACCTGGAGCTCCGCCAGGGCCGGGTGGTTGGCTGGCTCCAGGGAGCAGAAGCGGTTTTAGGGTTTTACGATCACTCCTGAAAGTGGGAGGGTCTGCTTATATTTAGGGGCAGAAGAGACAGGCTGTAGCCCCTCCCACCCAGAGGGCCCGGAAGCTGCGTTTGGAAAGAGCTTGGCCTCAGAGAAGCCCGGCCTTGGTGGTAAAGGCTGGGGCTTGAATCCGACCGAGGTCCATCCAGCCCTCACTCAGCTCCCCAGAGCCCCCCTTTCCCTCTGGGGTCCAAGACCAGAGGGCAAGACTGGGGAGACTGGCAGGGACGAGGTCCTGGGGAGCCCTAGGGCTTGGAAAGAACCCCAGCTCACCCTGGCCGCTTGGGCTCAGCAGTTGGAGCATCGGGCCTGTGGTCCAGAGAGCCCCGGGTTCGGTTCCCGCTAAGGGCACGTACCTCGATTGCGGCTTGTCCCCAGCCCTTGTTGGGGTCGTGTGCGTGGCAGCCAGTTGATGTGTCTCTCTCACATCGATGTTCCTCTCTCTCCCTCCCGCTCTATCTGAAGATAAATGCAAATATGTCCTCGGGTGAGGATAAAGAACCCCAGCTGCCCATGGCTCCAGGGCCAGCTTGGGAGTCGCCGCCACTCCCACCCCTGGGGTACCTCTTCCGGCCATGAATGGACTGAGCCGGGACCCTTGAGATGATCCCCAGTGGGCAGAGAGCCCAGCTTCTATGACAGTCTCAAAGCTGACACCTGGCTGACCGCCCCCCCCCTTGCCTTCCCAGAGCCCACCGGAACGACATGGAGACCATCTACCCTTTCCTGTTCCTGGGGCTCGTCTACTCCTTCCTGGAGCCCAACCCTTTCGTGGCCTGGGTGCACTTCCTGCTCGTCTTCCTGGGCCGCATGGTGCACACCGTGGCCTACCTGGGGAAGCTGCGGGCGCCCACCCGCTCCCTGGCCTACACGGTGGCCCAGCTGCCCTGCGCCTCCATGGCCCTGCAGATCATCTGGGAAGCCGTCCGCCACCTGTGACCAGCAGCTGACACCTCGGCCGCCGGACTGTTGGCCCCCAGCCACCGTGGCTGTCCTTGGACAACTGGGCGTCACTTCGAGATTGGGATGGGCCCCAGGACCCGTTTCCTGGCAACCTGCCGAGCGCAGACTCCTGGCCAGGCTGGCCTCTGTGTGTGCACACATGTGCACACATGTGCACACACGTGTGCCCCTTGGATTCCTGGGTGAAGTGGCCAGTTGGAAACGTTTGGAGAGGGTTGTCAAGACTGATAGACAGTCAATCCCTCCATCCGAATAACAGCATTGGAAACCTCACTCCCTCCCTCTCCCACCCTAAGGACAGGAAGAGTGGATGGAGACTCGGTTCAGGTCCCTAAACCCAATGACCATCCAGAGCTATAATAAAGGCAGACTGCTCAGATCCACCCCCGAGGCTCCGATTTGGCCGGCGTAGAGGGGAACCTGGGCACCTGCATGTGAGGAAGCTACCCCGTGAGTCCTGGCCACGGTCAGGCCTGGGAACCACTGTCTGCCCTCCAGAGGCGCAGCCCAGCCAGGGTGTGATTCTGCGATCTCTCTTTAGCTGGGAGTTTAGTGAGGGGGTGCGTGACACTCCTTGGTGCCCTGTTGGCGCCTCCCCGGGCTCCCCACATTCCTTTGCTGGATCCTCCTCCCCTTGGAGCAGGCGCCCAGGGGAGGGCCCATGGCAAGGTTGGCCTCTTGCGGGGTGGTCTCTGCTCCTCAGGGCTGCCGGTCCAGGGCGATGGGCTGGGGATGACCAGCCCCTGACGGGAACTTCCTGGCTCCTTCGGTCTCAGGGTTTGCAAAGCGCAAATGTGCACCCTGTGGGGAGTTGGGGCTCTCTCCCAGGCTCTGGTCCTGGGCGATGTGTGGCCCTGTCCTAACCCCAAAGCTCTGCGGCCTCACTTTCCCCAAACCCCCTCCAGCTCTGTCCTTCTCTCCAGCCTCTGGGAGGCCTGTCCCAGCACCTGGGCACGTCTGCCTCCCGCCGCTCTGCAGGCTCTGCGCTTCTGCCCCAGGACTGATGGAGTGGGGCCATGCGCTCTGGGGGCGCAGGGGACACCTGGCCTCACTGGAAATCCGGATTAACCCCAACCCTGCGCCGGGAGCTCGGAGCCGGAGCAGATCACACTGCCCCCTGGTGGTGAGGTGAGCCTCGCGCTTGCCGCAGCGGCACAGCTGGAAACCGGGAGGGCACCCCGTGTGCTGAGTGGCTGCTGAACAAGCTGGCTGGGGCTTGCAGCGCTGTCACTTAGTCCTTAAACAGATTGCAGGAGGGAGGGGATGTAGACATGGAAGTGGGGCTCAGAGAAGGGAGATGACTTCCCTGACCGGAATGTGAGGGCCAGAGGAGCAGACCCAGCGTGTTGTATGTGTCCCGTCCTGGGGAAGGACTGAGAGGACAGTGTGCCCAGCTCAGACCCAGATCAGGAGGGCTTCCCATGCCAGGGACCTTGCAAACCTGGGACCCGAGCGAAGGGCGGAGCCACAGGGATGCCGAGCGCTTGTGCACGGCCCGTCGCCTGCGTGGTACGTCCTCAGATGCTGGGCGCAGCCCAAGGGCAGCAGCAGTTGGGGGACAGCAGGACAAGCCAAGTGCTCAGCACCCTGATGGGGGGGTGGGGCAGTGGGAGGACAGGGAGGGCCCTCCAACCCCTGCTGGGGAGGAGCTTCTCAGGGGCGCTGGAGACCCACCTGACACGCAGGGTAAGCCAGACTGGTTTGTAGGGACGTCCAAGGTGAGCAGAGTCTGGCGCCCTGCGGTTGTGCTGCTGAGAGGTGGAGGGGAGGTGTGGGGGCGGGGAATGAGGCTGAAGGTCAGCAGCAGGGCTTCCTTGAGGCGTTGGGACTTGGAAGTTCAAAGCCTCGGTGAGGGGTCGAGAGTTGTGGGACTGCAGTGAGGACAGCAGCGAGGTGCGGCCGACAGCAGGCAGTGGGCCTGGTGGCTGTGGCGTGGCCCTTGCTCCCGAGTGGCATGGACGGCACCCTGACCGTCCGCCCAGGAGCTGGAGGGCCCAGGGGAGAGGCAGGTGGGGGCCAAGGGCTGGGAGGCGCCGGCCCAGGGTGCTGTCAAGAGCCAGCTGGCGGGAGCTCAGTGACTCCCAGGGGAGAAGGAGGCCTGGGGGACCTGCTCCCCCTGTCACATCTGGGGCAGATTCAACCCTGTAGGATGGGGCAGGGCTGGGAGCGGCCTCCTGGGAGCAGCTGTCCCTATGTCTGGACACTGGACCCAGGAGAGACAGTGCCTGTCTCCCGGGCAGCAGCAGAGGGAGTCCAGCAAGTGAGACGACTTGGCTAGGGGACCTGAGGTCACATCTGCTGACCCAGCCAGAGGCAGCCATACTCAGCCACCCTCCGAGGCTACCTTGGGCACCCAAGAGTTCTGGCCTCTTCCCTTCATCTGCATCACACGCTCCATCCAGCCGCTCCTCCCTCCTGACCTGGGGTTAGGGACGGTGTGATGTGGGGACAGGATGCTGGGCAGCAGACTGGAGCTGCCCCTGGTGGGGGCCTGATGTCCGAGGGCATCTTCTCTTGGGCTCTGAGAAGGCCAGAGCTGGGTCGGGGTGTCACACAGACCGGGGTCAGGGTGCTGGGCTGTGAGGTGGGCCCCTCTGCTTGACATGTAGCCAGTTTGGTCTAATGCTGTGAACCTTCCGTGGCCACCCCAGTACACGAACCTACCAAGGAAGCCAGAGACAGGTGACGGCTGATGCGCCCTGCCCGCCTGGCCTCTCCGTCTCCCATAAGGGCCCCTCCTTTAATGAATTTCTTGGCTTGAGGCTTCCAAGAGTTTCCCTCATGTGTGAGGGACTTGGAGGCACAGGCAGAAGTGAGGACAAAGGGGTCTGGTGTGCAAGTCCTGGAGGCAGGGACAGAACCTGGGGACTCCGGGGGTAGGCAGAGCCCATTTCCCACAGAAAATCCAGGGGTCCCCAAGAGGCCACTGCTGTTGGGAATGGGCTTCCCGGCTGGCCAGGACAGTCACAGCAGAGGAGTGTCCTCGGGGCTGGTGGAGGTCCAGGCAGATGTCCCGGGAGAGGCACCCTTTGAATCGCAAGCTGAAAGGTGGATGAGCTTCCAAAAGCGGTTCATATGTACACTCACATGTAGTGGCCCATGTTAAAGGTTTAGAAACTACACAGAAGCTCAAAGAAGAAAATAAAAAGCTCCCATACTCTCGCCACTCAGAGGCTGTCCCGTGTCACACTCTGGGGCTCTGGGACACCTGTTCACGCATGGTGCCATGAGGGCCTGTGTCGCTGCAACAGCCTCCCAGCCGATCCCTGCGTCTGCCCTGGGCTCCAGTCCACTCCCGCCCAGAGCCAGAGGCTCTGCGTCCCAGCCCTCGGTGGCTTCACCGCCATCGGAGGGAGGCCCACATGCTCACCTGATTCACCGTCCGGCTCCCTGTAGACCGTACGCTCCCGGGGGACAGGGATTTGCGTCTGTGTTGTTCCCTGTGGTGCCCATGTCCCCAGGTCTGGGAAGAGCACCTGGCTCCAAGGGCGTTTCTCTTTCGTGAGTGATGGTGTGTAAAGTGTAAATGTGTGTGTATTATATATAGAGAGAGGGAGTAGGGACTGTTTTTATCCAGGACAGAATTCCACAGCAGAAGGTATGTATTGAGCCCTGGCCAGTTTGGCTCAGCGGTTAGAGCATCGACCCTTGGACCAAAGGGTCTCACGTTCGATTCCTGGTCAAAGGCACATACCTGGGTTGCAGGTTTGATCCCTGGCCCTGGTTGGGGTCATAACTATATATAAATATATAAAATATATATTATATATATATATATGTTTATTGAGCACTGGGGAGACACTGGGGTGTCACAGAGGTGAGTGGCATCTGTGCTCAGGGGCTCAGTCTCAAAGCAACAACTTGGACTGGCCTTTTGTTATCGGTTGAGACTTAATCATATATGTCTGCACTTTCTTCCAGGGTCAGTATCATGAATTTGAACAGCTCCCTGGGGCAGGGGCCAAGGGGTTTGAGGCTAGATGGCAGAGCCTCAGACATCGAGACTGGGTGATGGAACTTGACTAGGAGGGCCCTGGGGAGCCATAGGAGACTTTAGACAGGGGAGGGACATGATCAAGGCTGTGTTTTAGGACAGGCGTTAAGACAGGAGGCTGTCACTATAGTCTGATGATGCAGAGGCTTCATGTCTCCTCTGTCTGGGGTTCCGGGGTACCATGGGCAAAGTGAGGCCAAGTTCAAGGTGGGACTTCCAAGCTCCATGTCCACCTGTGTTAGTTTTCTATGCTGTGTAACAAGTTGCCACAAATACAGCAGCCTAATATAGCACCATTTATGATCTTAGTTCCTGTAGGTCAGGAGTCTGGGCACACTTAACTGGTCCTCTGCTCGGGGTCCCACAAGGCTGCAGTCAAGGGGTCTTCCAGGCCGTCTCCTTGGAGCTCGGTGTCCCCTTCCAAGCTCATTCAGACTGTAGGCAGAACCAGTTCCTGTGGTGTGAGGCTGAGGCCCCCGCGGCCAGCGGCCACCCCTCCACAGGCCATTTGCTCTTCGAGGCTGGCCGGAGAGCATCCGCCTGCCAGGAAGCTCCCTTCAGGAAACACCTGGACCTTCTTTTAAGGTCTCACCTGGTTAGGTCAGGCCCACCCAGGATAATCTCCCTTTTGATTTAGTCAAAGCCAACTGATTAGGGACCTTAATTACATCCGCTCAACTCTTCATCTTGACCATATTCTGTTGGTTAGAAGCAAGTCAGAGGTTCCACCTACACTCCAGAAGAGGGCGAGACACCAAGGTGTGGCTACCTGGGTTGGGGATCACAGGCCTGTCTTAGCATCGGGCCACCACATCACTTCTCCTTTTAGTTCTTCCGATTTCCAGGTGCCCCCTGCTGACCCCTCATACCCCAAGCTCAATCCCTGCCCACTTCTAAGATGTGAACTAAGCTAGCTGGTGTGGCTCAGTGGATTGAACGTCGTCCCATGGACTGAGAGGTCCTGGTTCGATTCCCGGTCAGGGCACATGCCCTGGTTGTGGGCCTGATCCCCAGTGGGGGGCGTGCAGGAGGCAGCCAATCCATGTTTCTCTCTCACATCAATGTTTCTATCTCTCTCTCCCTTCCTCTCTCTCAAAAAAATCAATAAAGCCCTGGCCGGTTTGGCTCAGTGGCGAGAGCATCAGCCCGCGGTTCAGAGAGACCCGGGTTCGGTTCCCACTAAGGGCATGTAACTTGGTTGCAGTTTGTCCCCGGCCCTTGTTGGGGTTGTGTGGGAGGCAGCCACTCGATGTGTCCCTTTCACATCAATGTTTCTCTCTCTCTCTTCCTCTCTAACTGAACAAAAATGAAAAAAAGTCCTCGGATGAGGATTAAAATAAATAAATAAATATATATATTCAATAA